AGAGTGGAAGGTCTAAAAGCATGGAGAACAATTGTGGCTACTAGAGACAGTGGGGGAGGAGGTGGGAATGGGAAAGGGTGAGAGGGAGGGAATCAAAGGGAAAAAGAAAGAAGCAAGACATTTAAGGGACACAAAGTGGAAAATTATCTGTTGATGATAATGTGTAGGGTAATATCTTTGACCAAACCAGTATACAGTATATTCACGATGGGAAAACTCATTGAGTATGCTGTAATGATATACAGTGATAGAATGTAAATAAATTAAAAATTAAAATACAATTTTTTAAATTAATAAGCACAAGCTTTAGAAGTAACCTAGATTTTCAACAACCAGAGACTAAGTACATTTGTCACCTCCATGCTAGGAACATGGTCAGTAAACAGAGGGACAGATCTGTCTCCAGGTAGGGAATGGCTTCCGGGGTAGAGTTGAGGTGTTAAACACAACCAACACATGCGGGGTGCCCTCTGCTGTACCCAGAAGTCTGCAGACAGCTGTAGGAAAGGGCTATCTGTGACAACCACACAAGAAACAGGAAACAGTCCTGTCCCTGAGTGGGGAAAGCAGGTCCTTGCAACAGATGGCAGAGAGATGTTTTCATGGTAAACTTTACCTTTGGAATTTCATTTCATGTGAATTATTTATTCAAAATAGTTATTAATTACTTATTTTTAAATCCTCAGCTTCTCTTTTTTTCTGCTCTATTTTTTATTGCCTATATTTAGAGTATGTCCCCTCTAAAAACTGAAAGCTATGGACTGGATTAAAATTTCAGCGAGCTGACCAGTCACAGTAGCAATGCAAAGCTCAGAGCCGGTGGCATGCGAGAAAGCACTGAGTCTGCAGGCTGAGGGCTCTGCGTGTGTGGCAGTGTGGCCTGTGGGCCTGGCTGTCCAGGGTCGGCGGGGACAGAGGGTTAAGGGCCCTGTCGAAGATGTCTTCCTTCCTTTTTCTCTCTGTCTCTCTCAGAAGAAAGAAACTTAAAAATTCAACAAGTCAATGCTTTTCTAATTCAGAGGTCTAAATCCATTCTGAAAGGCACATAAGTTAAATGGGAATGAAGTGTATTGTGTCATACACGACCTGCCCATCAAGTGGCAAAAGCTCAACTAAGATATTGTGCAGAATAATGACAGCACCAACGAGGCTGAAGAAAACTATGGAATGGTTACAAAAGCATTTATCTTCCCATATAGTAGAAAGTAAAATACAGGAAAGGAAACCTGAAAGAAAGGTGAAATAGAAATATATTGATGCTCCTGGAGCATACAGGAAGTAAATTATTAAGAGTATAAATAACTATTACAGAGGCGGCCTGAGGCTGCAGGCTCGACAGCCCTGGACCTTCACGCAACCCCACCCCTACTCTTCTTTGGACCCCAGGTTGATTGCATGGGATTTTAAGACGAAATTGCACCCCACCCTTCCCACAAACTGGATCAAGCTGGCCAGCAGTTCCGGACACCAGGCGGCCTGAGGCTGCAGGCTCGACAGCCCTGGACCTTCACGCAACCCCACCCCTACTCTTCTTTGGACCCCAGGTTGATTGCATGGGATTTTAAGACGAAATTGCACCCCACCCTTCCCACAAACTGGATCAAGCTGGCCAGCAGTTCCAGATACCAGGTGGCCTGAGGCTGCAGGCCCAACCACCCCAGACCTGTCACTCATCCTCTGGCCCTTCCGCACTTGCCTTTGGACTCTGAATTTTAGTGATTTGAATAGCACGTGGTGCACAATGTGCACTGCATGATTTCTTTTGTTTTGTTTTGTTTTTCTTTGCTCTTGAAGTGAAGCTTATTAGGTCAGTTGGAGGCTCACCACTCCTTAGAAATAGGGAGGACTTTGGGCAACAGGGAAGCCAACCATAAGAGAAATCATCAATTTTATAATTCTGTACAACTTTTAAATTCAGAGATACCTCAAATAAGTTAGGAAGCAACATATAGGTTACTTGATGACTAGGAACAATCACAGAGGCTCAAGAAGTGTGAGCAACCAACAAAAGGACTCTCTACCAAGGGAAATAATCAAGCCTACATCACCCACAGTCAATACAATGGAC